ACAGGCACCCGCCACCCCTAACGCCCAGCTAATTTTTGCATTTTTTATGGAGATAGGTCTCCATGTTGGCCAGGACTGGTCCCAATCTCCCTGACCCTTGTGATCCCCCACTCAGCCTCCCAAAGTGCGGGATTACAGGTCAATGAGCGCACTGTGGCCTGGGCTAGTTTTTTTTTTTTTTTTTTGTAGAGACAAGGTCTCATTATGGATTGCCCAGGCTTGTATTCACCTCCTGGGTCCAAATGATCCTTTCACCCTGACCACCGCACCCCACGGGGCCCCAGGCTCCTAACTCTCAGAATCCCATAGTCCGTATTGGCGGAAGACGGGCTGGCACCCTTGAGTTGGGCCGCTGGTCGTTGGCACAGATAAGGGGAGCTGCTGCTGAAGGAGCCCCGAAGGCTGATCCTGTGGAGGCTTCTCAGAGCTCCTGGCAGGAGCCCCTCACCGTAGGAGGCCACAGCACGTCCCCAGCCCCTCCCAGCTGCATATCGGCTCACATTCACGCGGCTGCCACACAAGTGCGTAGGAAACTCCACTTGGCTGCACGTGTTTGTGCTGCTGTCTGGGACAGCCTTACGCACATAAGCCCAATACTGGATGTCCCACCATTTTCAGCCCTGGGGCCTATGGCAAAGTGACACCTTCCTCGGCGTACACCGCGCGGGGCCATGACAAGGACGGCGTAAAGGCAAGTACTGACCAGGACGACGCTGGGTGCAAGAGGGGACGGGCACAGAACAAAACAGAAACGATCCACGAGGGCCTGCAAACATGTCTTTGGCCCCAATGAGGGTCGGGACCTTGTGTATAGGTCCAGGCAGCGGGAGCTGCAGAGGCCTACAGGGCTTGGAGAAGGCTGACTACAAAGAAATGCCTAGACCCCAGAGTCTAGTGAGGAGAGGGGCTTGGGGCAGTGTTCCCACAGCAGATCCGGCCCCCCTCCTCACTGATCAAAACCCCAAGGGCAGGGAGCCCTTCCTGCTCCTTCCCACCGGAGCCTGGAGGATGAGGGGAGATGGGAGGCCCGGCCACTGGTACCTGCTCCTTTGGTCAGCTGCCACCCCTTCCCCATCACAGGGCACTTGTCTTGCTGTTGGGGTCACGAGGGAATTGCTCCCCCAAGTACCCATCAGCCTCCAGGGCCCAGATGATTCCACGCAGTAGTTCTCACCCACCTCCTCTGAGAAAGCTCTTGGCTCCCAGAAACAGAAACCACGCCCAGGCCTGCTCCCCTTCCTTGGGCCGTGGCCCCCTGCCACAGAGGCCCCCCCGCCACAGAGGCCTCCCCTGCCACAGAGGTCCCCCTGCCACAGAGGCCTGGTGGCCCCTGAGCTCCGAGTGGAATGTCCCGGTCTAGAGGGCCCTGGCTGCTCCAGTGACTTAAGACCCATACGTGGCCGGGCGCGGTGGCTCAAGCCTGTAATCCCAGCACTTTGGGAGGCCGAGACGGGCGGATCACAAGGTCAGGAGATCGAGACCATCCTGGCTAACACGGTGAAACCCCGTCTCTACTAAAAATACAAAAAATTAGCTGGACATGGTGGCGCGTGCCTGTAATCCCAGCTACTTGGGAGGCTGAGGCAGGAGAATCACTTGAACCCGGGAGGCAGAGGTTGCAGTGAGCCAAGATTGCACCACTGCACTCCAGCCTGGTGACAGAGAGACTCCATCTCAAAAAAAAAAAAAAAAAAAAAGACCCATATGTGAATCCTGGCTCCATCGCTCTAGGCCTCGTTTTTCAGTTGTAAAGCAGGGATGATCGCATCTATTTAACTCCTAGATTGTTATCAAGTCAAGGGCAACAATAGGAAAACATGTCACCTGTCAGCTCCACACAAGGTAAAGTAGGATGGGTGGCCCCTGACTAGGGGCTGGGGGTGCAGGGGGCACCCGACCCATCTGGCCAGCCACAGCCTCTGTACCCTGCTCCCACTTTCAGGCCTCAGTCCCCAAGCACTGCTGGCCCTGGACTGTTTTCCCCACTCAATTCTGATTTCTCAGTGCCTGCTTCTTCCCAGTAAGTGCCACACCCTGGGGGTGGATGGGAGAGTGAGGCACCAGTGCCCGCTTTGGCTGGGACTGGACACTGCTGGGGACAGCACAGGCCACATCTTCCCCATCTCAAGACTGGCTTTTTGGCCGGGCGCAGTGGCTCATGCCTGTTATCTGGGTACTTTGGGAGGCTGAGGTGGGAGAATTGCTTCAGCCCAGGAGTTCCAGACTAGCCTGGGCAAAATAGCAAGAACTCGTATTTATGAAAAAGAAAGAACAAAAATTAGCCAGGCCATGGTGGCACACACTTACAGCCCCGGATACTTAGGAGGCCGAGGTGGGACGATCCCTTGAGCCTATGAGTCGGAGGCTGCAGTGAGCTATCAGTGGCACCACTGCACTCCAGCCTGGGTGGCAGAGCAAGACTCCAACTCAACAACAAAAACAAGGGCAGCCTTTTCCCAGCTGACGGCACCCTGGCTAGTTAGGGTTTCCCCGAATCTGCACTCCTGTTTGATGGCGGGTCTCAAATGCTGGGAGGCAGCAGAGTCACTGGTCAGCGGCAAGACCTGGAGTCTCCATTTGGAACCAGCAGCCGGGAGCCTCTGCTGGGGGTAATGGAGGAGCCGCACGTGGAGGCTGGTGGCTCTGGTGGTTTGAGCCGTCCCTCAGCAGCGCAGCACACCCGCTCCTGGGGAGCCACTGGGCTCATGAGTGTTTGGAAAGTGCTGTCAGTGCTGGCTGTAAGGAAACAGGCTTGACTTTAATTCAGCCTTTCCCAAATTTCACTATAACACTTTCTTGAAAATTAGAATAACCGGCCGGGCGCGGTGGTTCACGCCTGTAATCCCAGCACTTTGGGAGGCTGAGGCGGGCGGATCACGAGGTCAGGAGATCGAGACCATCCCGGCGAACACGGTGAAACCCCGTCTCTACTAAAAATACAAAAAATTAGCCGGGCGAGGTGGCGGGCGCCTGTAGTCCCAGCTACTCGGGAGGCTGAGGCAGGAGAATGGCGTGAACCCGGGAGGCGGAGCTTGCAGTGAGCTGAGATCGCGCCACTGCACTCCCGCCTAGGCGACAGAGCGAGACTGTCTCAAAAAAAAAAAAAAAAGGAAAAAAAAAAGAAAATTAGAATAACCACTAACATCACAAAACGAGTGTTCTCAGGAGTGGACATGTTGATCTAGTTCTCTTTTTTTTTTTTTGAGACGGAGTCTCGCTCTGTTGCCCAGGTTGGAGTGCAATGGTGCGATCTCAACTCACCGCAACCTCCGTCTCCCCAGTTCAAGCGATTCTCCTGCCTCAGCCTCTCGAGTAGCTGGGATTACAGGCGCACACCACCACGCCCGATTAATTTTGTATTTTTAGTAGAGATGGGGTTTATCCATGTTGGTCAGGATGGTCTCGTACTCCTGACCTCAGGTGATCCACCCGCCTCGGCCTCCCAAAGTGCTGGGATTATAGGCGTGAGCCGTCGCACCCAGCCTTTTTTTAAACATTTGAGTGAACTAAAGCCTAGGAGATGTGTGTTCCAGGCACCCAAGCTGTTAATGAGGAGATTGAATGTGGCCTGGACCTGCCCTTTCCTCTCCTCCTTTCATCCCCCTCCCCCCTGCCCACATGCTGAACTGCTCTGAGCCTGCAGCTCTCCTGGGCTCCCCCTACCTCCTGAACACAGCGGGAATCTTCAGAGTTGTGGAAGGGCGTAGGGATGGAAAGCGACCAGGATTCGCCTGTTTGGCTGGGAAAATCGGCAGAGAGGGTGGCTCACGCTTCTAAGGTGTCTGCACAAGCCCAGTTTGTCTTGGGGTGGCGGAGTAAGGTCTTTTCCTGGCCCACGGTCCCTCCCGAGTCAGCAGTCCCCCAGAGAGACGAAGAGCAGCTGGGCACGGCTGGAGCTGGTCGGTGGCAGAGAATCTTGTCCTGCCTTTTCTTCTCAAGCTCAAAATAGGCACATGCAGCTATTAACTGATATGCTAGAAGGGGCATCCCTTACCAGGAGGAAAATGGATTTATTGCTTTATAAAAAAGAAGTCTGATAAAACTGAAGAGAAAATAACTAAAAATCCAAACATCAACTCACCCCTCTAAGCACGCCCAGGAGGTCTCAAGACACACTTCTGGGGGCAGTCAAGGTGGGTGGGTTGGTGGGCCAGGCGGACAGGCCTCCCCCCTGCATCAGCTCCAGGGCCCCGCGCAGCCTGCCGGCAGGGGGTGCTGTGGGCCTGTGGCCTTGGACAAGCTCCTGGCCCTGCACCAGGATGGCTCCTGGGCGCTGGCCCAGCCTGCAGGCCTGGCGGCTCCCGCCTGGTCAGTGGGGATGAGGGCTAACTCCTAGAGCCCACCCCGACCCCATACACCCCTTGGACCCACCCACATCCCCACCCTGACCTGCACCTCCGTGTCTGCTGGCCACAGCCTTGCGTCCACCCCCACAAAAGCAGCTGTGTGTATGTAGGGGGTGCCCTGGCGGCGGTCCTCAAATTCCCTTCAGGTGGCAGACAGGAACGAGGGTGGCAGTGGAAACGTGTCCCCGGCGTAGGCCCTGGGGGAGGAGGCAAGGGGCCACTGGCGACCCTTGTCCACCCAGCCCACTAAACGCTCCCCGGGGTGTAAGCTAGGTGGGGCTTCTCCACCGGCCTCCAAGGGGTGGACAGGCCCTGGACAGGCGACGGGGGGCTGGAATTACAAAGGAGTTAGCACCAACAACAGGAAGCGGGTCCTTCCTTCCTCAGGCAGCCTCAGACTGGCCGGGGAGGGGGTGAGGGGCCAGGCGCGGGCAAGACAGTGCAAGCCTTTGTCCTCAGGCAGGTGTGGCCGTGGCATGCAGCCGAGGGGCAGGTGGCAGGCAGTGGATGGCAGCCCCCTCTGCTTTGGCAAGAGGCAGAATCCAGACACTGGCAGGAGAGCGCCTGCCTGCCGGGTGTCCCTGGCTCCTCCTGCAGGCACCACAGAGACCCCAGGCCCCGGGTCCCTGGAGGGGGCGGCAGAGCAAAGTCAGGGCAGCCCCTGCGTTCGGCATCAGAAAACTCGCATGTCCCGGGCCCTCTCCCGTCCTTCCACCACAGAGCTCCGAGGCAGGGCCCCGGGAGGGAGCGTGAACTCCAGCACGGAGATGGCGAGGGTCCTGGGGGTGCGTGGGGTACTCTGGAGGGGCAGGACAGGGATCAGTCACTGAAGCACAGGCAGGAGGCCGCAGTTCCGAGGCGGCAGCCGCTACACGAAGGCCTCCTGGTTGGACGAGCCGTTGATCTTGAGGAAGAGTTTGTCGTCCTCCTGCCTCTGCTGCAGCTGCCGCTCCAGCTGCCGCCGGTAGCAGATCAGGTAGAGCGGGAGGCAGAAACCCAGCAGGCTGAGGACGAGCAGCCCCACGTTCACCTGGGGAGGCAGGGAGGCCGGCATCACAGGGCTGAGGCTGCAGACCCACCCTCCTCCGGGTCTGGGAAAGGGGAGGTCACGGGGTGGAGCGGGCACGAAACAGGAAGGCCCACGAGATCCCAGGGCCCGTCATTCTGTATGCCAGCGTCCCAGTGCCCAGCTCTTCACAGGCCACGTGGCCGTCCTCGGGGCCTGGGCCCCCAGGGAACACGGGCTGATCTGAACCTTTGGGCTTGGAACAAGTTCCTGGTACCTGGTGAGGAATCCTGGCCCTCGTAGGGGTGGGGCAGGAACAGGAACTCTGTTTTTTTTGTTGGTTTTTTTTTGTTGTTGTTGTTTTGAGACAAAGTCTCGCTCTGTCATCATCCTGGCTGGAGTGCAGTGGCGCAATCTCGGCTCACTGCAATCTCCGCCTCCTGGGTTCAAGTGATTCTCCTGTCTTAGCCTCTCGAGTAGATGGGATTACAGGCACCTGCCACCACACCTGGCTAATTTTTGTATTTTTAGTAGAGACCTGGTTTCACCATGTTGGCCGGGCTGGTCTTGAACTCCTGACCTCAAGTGATCCTCCCGCCTCGGCCTCTCAAAGTGCTGGGATTACAGGTGTGAGCCACTGTGCCCGGCCCAGGAACTCTGTTCTGTTTACCCCCAAATCAGGTCCAGAGAGGACACATTCCTTCTCCTGCCTGGCTGCCATTCACAAAGGGACTCTTAACTGATCCTAACCAACGCTCCCAAATCGCCTGTCCTCAGGGCCCTGAAGCCCCCCCCAAGTGGTACCTTGCAGCTCACAGTTAGCAGAAGGGGGCAGGTACCCATGACCCATCATCCCCTGACCCCTCTTACCCACAGAGGGTCTCCCTGGAGGGGACCCATCATGGCCAGAAACAGCGGCTGCTGCAGGAGGGCGAAGAGCGCGCTGATCAGAGACTGCAGTCCCGTGAGGCTGCCGAACTGGGTGGAGGGGTACCTGCCGGGCAAGCAACAGCTCACAGCCATCCTCCCTCCTGGGCTCTGCTTGGCCCCAGGTGTCTGGTGACCCCGGGCTGCACCGTTGGTGCCAGAGAAGGGTGGGGTGCCAGCCCTTGGATTCCTTCCTGCTGGGCAGTTCTTTTTTTTCTTTTTTTTGAGATGGAGTCTTGCATTGACGCTGAGGCTGGAGGGCAGTGGTGTGATCTCGGCTCATTGCAAGCTCCACCTCCCTGGTTCAAACAATTCTCCTGCCTCAGCCTCCTTAGTAGCTAGGATTACAGGCGCCCGCCACCACACCCAGCTAATTTTTTGTATTTTTAGTAGAGACAGGGTTTCACTATGTTGGCCAGGCTAGTCTCGAACTCCTGACCTCATGATCTGCCTGCCTTGGCCTCTCAAAGTGCTGGGATTACAGGCATGAGCCACCGCACCCGGCCCTGCTGGGCAGTTCTGCAGTGTTTCTCTTTGGGACCAGCCCCAGGCCCCAGACTCTGGGGAGGGCCCACCCCACTGAGCTGTGCCTGGGGCCTCTGGGTGTCTGGCTGAGCTGAGTGGAAAGCGTGGTGCCAGCAGGGACCTGCGGTTTGGGAAACGGGCCCAGAGAGGAGCGTGGAGGCTGGGCTTGGCTCCTCAGTGCCCTCGTCCAGAGGAGCATTGAGTAATCACGGAAACTCAGCACGACAGATCCTGCCCCCTCCCTCAGACCCTGCCAGGGCAGCCACAGCTTCCTCCAGGCCTGGGGAGGGGCAGGTGGAGGGCAAGCGGAGCTGGGATGGCCCCAGGGGCTGTTACGGGAATCGGGAGAGAGTTCCGGGCTAAATCTTAGCACACGTCAGGCTCTGCTGGTGCAGAGGTGGGAAAGGAATCCCAGCAAGGAATGAGCTGGACCCACGTCAGAGACTGTGGATGGTGGTGTTTGAGTTTCAGTTTTGGGGTCAAGGCCTGAGCCAGAGAAGGAGGAACCACTGTGGTTCCTTATGTTTCTGGGGCTTCTGGGAAAAAGATACAGGTTTCATTTTAACCAGGGCTGGAGAAAGCTATGGGCGGAACTGGGCGCACTGAGGCTCTGGATGGAGCCCATCTGGTGCATTCTGGACTCAATGACCCCTGTTGCTGCCCGTGATGAGGGCCATTTGAACTTCAGCATTTAGTTTCAGGCAGCTAGAACCTACCCGTCCATCCCAGTGAGCAGCCAGAGCCAGCCCCAGGACTCGGCTGTAGTGGCCCCTGAGGCCATAATGAGCTGCACAGCTGCCTGACCCTGGCTGGGGGAACCGACTTCGTGTTGAATGCCAAGGCTTGTGGGCACCCAACTGTCTGCCCACTGACCCGCCTCCCACGAAGTAGGGCCTTTCCCCGATACACCCAGCAGAAACCCTGGTTACCTGTCCCCTGATGCAGGAAGATGAGCCCTTCTGGAACAGGCTGACCCTGCCTCAGAGTCTCAGTCCCACCAGCAACCTCCCCCGGCCATTCCCACACCCTCGCCCACCAGGCCACCTGCAGCTTCCAGGACTTACACGGCGGCGTACAGGCCCCCGACAGCAGAGTGGATGAAGCCTCGCACGATTGTGTGCAGGATGAAGGAGAGGATCTGGGGGAGGGAAAGGAGGCTGTGAGCAGAAGGCCTTAAGGGACGCTCACCTCAGCCCCCACCCTCCAATTCCTGGGGGCCCTCGCCCCAGGGGCAGTGTCAGCTTGGAGCTGGATCAACCCATCCTCCAGAGTCAATCGTGAATTTTCAGAAATTTTGCAAAAGCCAGTCGTTAACACAGTCATTTTTTGTTTGTTTTGTTTTGTTTTGAGAAGAAGTCTTGCTCTGTCACCCAGGCTGAAGTGCAGTGATGTGATCTTGGCTCATTGCAAGCTCTGCCTCCTGGGTTCAAGCGATTCTCCTGCCTCAGCCTCCCGAGTAGCTGGGATTACAGGCGCCCGCCACCACGTCCGGCTAATTTTTGTATTTTTTAAGTAGAGACGGGGCTTTCCACCATGTTGCCCAGCTGTCTCAAACTCATGACCTTGTCATCCGCCTGCCTCAGCCTCCCAAAGTGCTGGGACACCGCGCCTGGCCTAACACAGTCATTATTAAAAAATTAAATTATAGGCCGGGCAATGTGGCTCAATCCTGTCTCCCAGCCACTTTGGAAGGCCGAGGAGGTGGATCACCTGAGGTCAGGAGTTCGAAACCAGCCTGGCCAACATGGCGAAACACTGTCTCTACTAAAAATACAAAAAATTAGCTGGGGCCGGGCGCCGGTGGCTCAAGCCTGTAATCCCAGCACTTTGCGAGGCCGAGACGGGCGATCACGAAGGTCAGGAGATCCGAGACCATCCTGGCCTAACACGGTGAACCCCGTCTCTACAAAATACAAAAACTGAGCCGGCGAGGTGCCCGGGCGAGCTTAGTGCCAGCTACTCCCGGAGAAGCTGAGGCGGAGAATGGCTGAAACGCCAGGAGCCGGGCATTGCCAAGTGAGGCATGAGATCCGCGCATTGCACTCCAAACCTGGGCGGCAGAGTCGAGACTGTTTCGCCTCAAAAAAAAAGAAAAAAAAAAAAAAAAATTAGCTGGTGGTGTTGGCAGGCACCTGTAACCTCAGCTACTAGAAGCTGAGCAGGAGAATTGCTTGAACCAAGACCGTGCGAGTTCAGTGAGCTGAGACTCACGCATTGCACTCCAGTCCTGGGTGACCAGAGCCGAGACTCTGTCCTCAAAAAACAGATAATAATAAAAAATAATAAAAATACATAATAAGCCAGAAGCAGTGCTCACACCTGTAACCCAGCACTTTAGGAGGCCCGAGAGGGAATCAGTTTAATGGTCAGGAGTTCAAGATCAACCCGGCCAACACGTGAAACCACTCATCTCACTAAAAATACAAAAATTAGCCGGTGTGGTGGGCAGACACCTGTATTCCCAGCTACTCGGAGCTGAGGCAAAGAATCGCTGAACCCAGGAGGGTGGAAGTGTGGTGAGCTGAGAGTCACGCACCTGCACTCCAGCATCGGTACAGAGATAGACTCTGTCTCAAAACAAACAAACCAAAAAAAAAAAACTAAATTACATAAATTTATGACTAAATAAATAAATTATATTCAAATAAAGGTAATGAATATCCAAAACTCTGAAAACTCATCACTTCTTGGCCTGGTGCGATGGCTCACGCCTGTAATCCCCACACTTTGGGAGACCTGGGAGGATCGTTTGAGCCCAGGAGTTCCAGACCATTTGGTTTTGTTTTGAGATAGAGTCTTGCTCTATAACCCAGGCTGGAGTGCAGTGGCGTGATCTCGGCTCATTGCAACCTCCATCTCCCGGGTTCAAACGATTCTCCTGCCTCAGCCTCCCGAGTAGTTGGGACTACAGGCGCGTGCCACCACATCCTGCTCATTTTTTTGTTTTTTTTGAGACAAGGTCTCACTCCAGTTACCCAGACTGGAGTCTGGAGTGCACGGGTGCAATCTCAGTTCACTGCAGCCTCAACTTCCCGGGGTGCAGTGAGCGAGCCGAGATTCTCCCACCTCAGCCTCCTGAGTAGCTGGGACTACAGGTGCACGTCCCAACACCTGGCTAATTTTTATTTTTAGTAGAGACAGGGTGTCGCCATATTGCCCAGGCTGGTCCCTAGTAAAGTTCCGTCGCTGTCTGTGGGAGGGTCCCTGCCCAGGAAGGCTGCTGCTGGCAGGCTTCGCAAGCTCTGAGAGGTACTTTTTAATGATCCCTGGCCGGCACAAGAGCCGTCCTCTTGGCCACCAGGTCCCTGTGGTTGCCTTGTCTTCTGTACACAGCCCTGCCATCCCGCTCAGCAGCCAGGACCTGTTCCCAGGAATGTGGGTGGTGGAGGGGCAGGGACTGCTCTCTGCAGTGTTGAAAGAGGGCTGTGCCCAGTGTGGGGGCACGCGGACAAGTGTTAGCGGCAAAGGTCTGCCAGTCTTGCAGAAAAAGCAGCCCAGGAGGCCAGGGAGGGGCCGGAGGATGTCAGCACCCCCCCGGGCCGGCACGAATGTTGCACAGCCCACTGCGCTCTGCACACCCAGTGTCAGCACGTACACACAACCGTTCCCACGGTGGGGCACACCTGGGTGTTCAGCGTGCCTCGAGGCCACTTGTAAAAAGGGAGGGACTCTTACTTCCCCCTGGACTTGACCCGAGATACCCTCTGGACTCGGGCTACCCCTCTCTGGAAGCACGAGCATCCCTTGCGTCCCTCCACCATTTGTATATTTAGGA